AAAGAAATTTTGATAATTGAAATATCCATCTTCTTATATCAGTAAGATTATTCGTACAGTTGTGCAAAAATAGAATGGTCTTAGTTCCAAGTCCTTGAAAGTTTTCTGACAGAACATCAAAGAAAACCCAGATATTTTAAGAAGGCTGTTGGTCCAGGATAGGCAGTTGGACTACATGACCTCTACTTTTTCTTCTAACTCTCACATTTGTAGATCTCACTAGAACCTCTCATCGAGGGGTCTAATCATGTCCTGCATCTCACTTCCAAATGTTCTCTGGACATCAAGAACTCCTTACATCCTAGCAGTATGGTTCGCATAATGGAGACTCTTCATAACACTCGCAAACACTTAACTAGTTTCTATCACCAGCCAGTAGGTGTTCTAAGCATGTAATGGGAGGAATTAACTCGTAATCCTCAAAGCAACCCCCATGAGGCAGGTCTTATGATCATTCCCATTTTGAGGGTTTTGCCTGAGGTTCCATGGATTATGAGGGGCAGAGCTGGGATTTGAACCCAGGCCAGCTGTCTCTAGAGGGAGCCTCTTAACTAACATCACACTGCCTCTCACTTGATAGAGGTTTGAAGTTGTTCCAGTTCTGAATCCTGAGATCTTTGTGGTCTTTTGGCTTGGTTCTGGCCTGCTGGGACTTTGGCTGACTGAGACAAGAAAGCTGACCTGATCATAGGACATAGCAGCCAAGGAGTGCTGGTATGCAGTCCACATTTTATTTTTTATTTTTTTTTTTTTTAATTTTTTTTTTCAACGTTTATTTATTTTTGGGACAGAGAGAGACAGAGCATGAACGGGGGAGGGGCAGAGAGAGAGGGAGACACAGAATCGGAAACAGGCTCCAGGCTCTGAGCCATCAGCCCAGAGCCTGACGCTGGGCTCGAATTCACGGACCTCGAGATAGTGACCTGACTGAAATCGGACGCTTAACCGACTGCGCCACCCAGGCGCCCCTGCAGTCCACATTTTAAAGTCAAAGGCAGGTGGGGCACCTGGGTAGTTCAATGGAGTAAGCAGCGGACTTCAGCTCAGGTCATGATCTCTAGGTTCCTGAGTTCCAGCCCCGCGTGGGGCTCTGTGCTGACAGCCTGGAGCCTGGTTCGGATTCTGTGTCTCCTCTCTCTGCCCCTCCCCCACTTGTGCTCTGTCTCTCTCTCAAAAATAAACATTAAAAATTTTTTTTACAAAAGAAAGCCAAAGGCAGGAGCGC